GGATTATCTTATATAATTCTCAAAAGAACCTTATGAGAGAAAATTCCTATATATATATTTTTTTAACAGAAGAGCCAGCTTGGCTCAGGGAAGTTAAGTAATTTGTCCAGAGGCACACAATTAGGGGTGGAACTTGTGGAACTGGATTTAAATCTTTTTCCATTTAACTTGAAAATCCTGGTTCTTAACCACTACCACCTCCTCTCGTGTTGACCACTATGTTTGCCTCATTAAAGACTGGTTTTCTACTCCAAGGGAAAAGAACTCAATCTCTTTACCATTCTGTTACTTCATGTTTTCTTTATAGTGTTTTGCTTGATAATATTTATTTGCATATCTCCCCCCCTCCAGAATATAAGTTTTGATTTATTCATTTGTTTCTCCATGTCCCAAACAGCACTTGCATATAGTAGACACCCAATCAATATATGTCAAATGAATAAATAAGTTTTGGTTGTGAGGGGTCCTGCATCTGGTGGTCAAAGCAAAATGCTATAATATGAAAAGCAGAAAATTTTGACTAGAAAAATGTACTATTGAGAGTTCCTCCTCAAGGAGAAAATTGACTGAATAAATGAGCTTAATTTCTTATAGCAAGTTAGTAAATAGTATAATAAAATGCATTATAATAAAATATTATCATGGATATTTTTCCTTTTGCTTACTTACTAAGAAATAATTTGTTACAAAGTAGAGACATACCTCAGAGATATTGCAGGTTCAATCCCAGACCACCACAATAAAGTAAATTATAATCTTTTTGTTGGTGGAGGGTCTTGCCTTCAATTTGTAAAAAATATATCTGTAAAGCACAATAAAGTGAAATTCGATAAAATGAGGTGTGCCTGTACACTGGCTCATTTTTTCAATGAGCATTTATTTGCTGCTGTGGTTTTTTTAAGCGGGGAGTTGGAACACTGTGTACTAAACATATGTAGAGAAGACACACCTGTGTGTGCATACATACACAGAGGAACAGGCCCGGCTCTCTGCAAGCTTACTATATTGTTGGAGAGACCTAGTAAATAACTAGGGAACTAGTACCAAAGCCACTTAATAAGCAAGAAATTGGCAAAGTGGTGCAAACAGGAATACAATTATCAGTGATTGCAACTCAAGTGTGATAAGTGCTGATAAGGAGACATGTTAGGACAGTGGTTCTCAAGTAGAACCACTGGCCTAGCCCTAGAACACCTCTCCCATCCATCTGCCTAGATCCAACCTTGTTCTGCATGAGTAATTAGACCCACCTGGCCGGTGTGGCTCAGGCTGAGCATTCACCAAGAACCGAGGTCCCCAGTTCGATTTCGGGTCAGGGCACATGCCCAAGTTTCGTGCTCAATCCCCAGTGGGGGGCGTGTAGGGGGCAGCTGATCAATGATGTTTCTCTCATCAATGTTTCTATCTCTCTATTCCTCTCCCTTCCTCTTTCTCTAAAAATCAATAAAAACATGTTTAAAAAGAAAAAGAAAAAAAATATCACAACATCTCTATCCTCCCAATCCAAGATAAAAAGAAAAAGAAAAAGAAAAAAAAAGAGTAATTAGACCCATCACTTCCCCTTGGAATCTTTACCTACACTAGGCTCTTCCACTTTCCAGTGCCTCCTAACACAGTGGTTCTCAACCTTGGCTGCACATTAGAATCACCTGGGAATCTTTTTAAAATGCTGATTTCTGGGCCTCATCCTCTGGAAATTCTGTTTCTTTGTTATGGGGTGGGGCCACAACATTAGTAACAAAGTAACAGAATTTACGGAGGATGAGGCCCAGAAATCAGGATTTTAAAAAGATTCCCAGGTGATTCTAATGTGCAGCCAAGGTTGAGAACCACTGTAATTAGGCAGAGGCTTGAGAGGGTTTGGTATGACAGGTGGATGACTATAATCGGAGCTGAATGAATGAATTGCTATTGCTACTGTAACCAGGTAACACAAAATTAATGGCTTAAAACAACATAAACATTATCTTACACAGTAATGGTGGTCGGAAGTTCAAAATCATCACTGGGCTAAACTCAAGGTGTTGGCAGGGCCGCATTCCTTGTGGAAGTTTTAGGTTTTAATAGCACCTTCATAACAAACATTTTATAGTTCACTCATTCTATCTTTTAAAAATACTTTAAAATATTTACAGCTTTCATTTCAATCGGTAGACTATTACTCCTTGTTTGGATACAATTATGAATTTTGTGAATTTTGTGACCTATTCTGAATACCTTTTTGCTTTATAGGCTTCTTAATTTAGTGAGAACATTGTGTTTTTCACCATGAGGCTGTGCTCTACCAAAATTAGTAATCATTTTATCCTCTCAAAAGTAAAGACTTTGTCTTCAAAGTTTAACATTTTGATTTTCTCTATCACACACGCCAGTGAATTTTCTCCTCCCTCCCCACAGGCACGTTCTCCTTGTCTCTTTCTTTCTCCTAAGTTTCAAGGGCCCTTCTTTTGCCTCAATAATTTGTTTCCTGAGCCAATTTCTTCTACAGCTCATTTCTTCTACCTCTGTGACTTTCTAAAGAAACTTTCTCTTATAGTTTGAGTCTTGCATCTGAATTCTTTCTTAGCCAGAACTGAAGTACCGAGGTTGCTGAACCAAGGTCTGGTCTGACTCCTCCGGTCTAACACCTGGTGCTGGTCTAACATCCATACTTTTAGCATTAGATGAAGCCAGAGAGCTGGGGGGGGGGCGGTCGTGGGTGCAGCTTGAGCTCCTGGCTCCTATCCCAGTTGGTCTGTTTGCTCTACCTGTGACCCAGTCTGCAGACAGCCCTCAGAGGTGCCTCCCTCCTATGTGATCCCCAGAGCTTCCTCAGATTGGCTGAGGTAAACTTTGGCACCACAAACTCCACAGCCATAAATTTCACTTACGCAGGCATCCAATTAAACCCCTGATTCTATAAAGTTGCCAGCAATCAAGCAAAAAAAGAAAAAAATTAACTTTTAAATTTAATTTATAATGGCATTGACAGTAATGTCAGATGTTTTATCTTCAACAGAATGAACACTCAAAGATTTATTTTAATTACATAGATTAAATAGAAAAAACGAGCCATTATTGGAATTAACCGATTTTCTATTTGAAGCATCTGGGGTCATTTAACTTCATGAGCAATTCCTCTTTTGTTCTTGGCACAAGCCTATTTATAATAATTACATTAGCTTTTTTCTACATGCACAACTGGAACTGAAAATTAGAAAAATTAATTTAGAATGGGTATTTGATCTCAGTGAAAAGTGAAGTGTCATGTACCATTGATCTTTCTCAGGTACAGTTTTAAAATAACTATAAAATTTTGTCATAGATGTTGGTGCTTTTTCAGCAGATTTGTGTTTTCATGCAGTCGGTAATGTCATTGTGATTGCTGTGGCTGATGACAAATGTTTTATTCTTAATATATTTTTTATTGAACTCAGAAAGGAAGGGAGTGGAAGGGAGGGATAGAAACATCAATGATGAGACAGAATCATTGATCAGCTGCCTCCTGCATGCCCCCCACTGGGGATCGAGCCTGCAACCCAGGCATGTGCCCTGACCAGAAATTGAACCAAGTCACACTGGCCAGGCTAACCATTTTTTCTTGAGAAATGAAAATTCAGTTCTTAATTACACTTAATCTTTTTCCATTTTATATGCCTAAAGGCTTAGTACAAAATACAATGCATTATCCTATATAATAAAAGCCTCATATGCAAATAGACTGAACAGTGGAATGACTGGCAGAATGAGCAGTTGCTATGACACACACTGACCACCAGGGGGCAGACGCTCAATGCAGGAGCTGCCCACAGCCCACAGGCCCCAGGCCAGCCAAGACGGGTGCCAGCGGGGGCCCCAATCACCCTGCTGGTCACCCAAAGATTGGCCCTGATCGCCAGCCAGGCCTAGGGACCCTATCCATGCACGAATTTCATGCATTGGGCCTCTAGTCATACAATAAAATAAATAAGTGGTAGCAGATTTATAGTAGTCAATAAGTGACAAAACTTTGTAGCAAGAGTGTTAAGACTTCTCTCTGAAAACTTCTCAGCTCTTTTCCCCATAGAGCCACATATACACATCACTGATAATTTTCTAGGTTTCCCACTGACCTCACTGTCAGACCTAGGAGTCTAATTGCTAGGTTAAAGGCTACGCAAGTTTTCAAATTAAAAAGATAAATCCATTCTCATCAGTAATATACAAGACAGCTTGTCAATCCATATCCTTGCCAAATCTTGACATTGCAAAACATTAAAATTTTTGCCAATGGAGTATTATAAAAATGGTATTTCTTTTGGGTCTTGATTTATATTTTCTAGACCATGAATGAAGCTGAAAATCTCTATGTATATTTAATGATAATAGGTGTTTTCTCTTCTGTGAAATGTTTGCACATGCCTTTAACCTATTTTTTTCCTTTTAAAAATACACTTTATTTTTTAGAGTAGTTTTA